CTTTAGGGATCTCATCTATGCACGAACAGCTTGTAACACTCCAAAGATAAAGGAAAACTTGAAATCGCATCATATGACCCCTTTAAGACAAACATGGAGACAGACCTATAATATAGGGCAGAAAATACTGCTGAGTACTGTCAGTGTAGTTATTTTGAAAATTGTTTGTTTGTAAGCTACATATATATATATTTTGAGTAACTGTTAACAAATTAGAATCAATGATCTTAAATTCTCACATCATGGATGAAAAGTGAAAAGAAGAGTGAAAGTGACTACACAAAGAACAAGCCTGTCACAAAGCCGACAACAATCTAAAGAACGTAAAACTCCTCAGACTGAAAGAGATGCCAAGCATGTCAACACTAACTTCCTAATCAAACACAAACTCAATCCAAACACATGAACCATTCCTTTATTTTCAGCGAGAACAGAAAAAAAAAAAACCTCCTCAACACAGTCAAGACCACCAAACAAAGACATTTCATGCAACCGTTTGCATCAGAAGGCATGACACAGCAGGTCTGAATCATGACAGCTCTTTCGTGTTAAGGTGCAGCAGCACCACTGGCAGCTAAATCTTTAAATGCTCTTTCACTCCCTTTTTCTGGCATGTCAAGGCCTCTTCTGTGTTCTGGGTAAATTAATTCTCTTAGGGTATGACAATATTTGCATGTGCAAATTGGGACAAAACACAGAATAAGTTAATACTACAGCTCCGTTCTAAAATCTAGTGAGCTGACATGCTGTCTGCAGCCTACATAAATACCTTTCACATGACGTCATTGTTGTGGACTTCCTCACAAATTTCCAAGGTGGAAGTCTGACGTCAATTGCCGTTCTACTGCATTTGTCCAAGGTGAAAACTGGAATTGGAAATTGGAATTGCTTTTTTTTTTTCACAACATGTAATTTAATGCAACTCACAACTGAACTAAGACATAACATTGTTTTGCTATTGGCCTATTCATCTGTGGACTAGGACATTAGAAACCGATCAGGTTTCAGCTACAAACAAAACAACTCACAAATTATTTACTACGGTTGCAGTGTTTCTTTGTAGACTAATTAGATCAAGGCAAAAGTAGTATATCAACAATAAGTATACAAGTCTAAAATGAAGCTTAAATAAAGAGGTTAAGATGGAAAAAAGGAAGTACACTTCCAATATTATGCTACATTGATTGAACTCATTAAGTAGACTAAAAAAAACAACTCAAGACAGATTCAAAATAGCACGTGGGCAACAGTGTCCGTGTTGTTGTTATGCTAATCTCATTCAGCGTTCAGCGGCATAAGATCAAGGTAAAATTCTTGGACTATCAGCAAGATAAACAGAGTCAGGGCTAAATCACAGCAGCAGTACAAAGAACGAGGAGTGCAAACACACAGCAAAAAGACTTTAGAAATGTACAGGTCACCTTAACAAGAAGTGGAGCTATGCAACCCAATACAGGGCCATTATGAGACAGTCATGCCTTCCTCCAGTTGTCTGAGCAGAGAACAATACGTTGATGACCTTCTTTTGGTTCTGTGTGAATTAAGGTTGAACATTTGTTGCCTTGGGTGATTTTACACCGCTTATTTCAGGACGTTAACACGCTGTCCTAAAGATGAGACCTCATAGTGCAAACAAATAAATTATAAATCTCAAAAAGATAATATAGAATAAACAAAAAGATAATACACTACATATAGAGCATAACAGGATAACCTGCATTACTAGTTTTCCGTTTTGATTGCAAGAACGATAAGAAAAAGCTGATCTTCAAAGTAAAAACATTTCCCTTAATCTCGCTCAAGAAGAATAAACAACATAATCCTACAAACGAGTTTGAAATGATAAAATAGAAAGTGAAACGGCTTTAATCAAAATTCTTATTTGGATGTGTGATATCCACTTTTAATATGTTTGTTTTCAACCAGAATTCCCAAACAAAGTCCTATCTGCCATTGGTCAATTAAACAGATAGCCCCGCCCTCAAATCATGCCGTTGGTCGAGCCAACATTGCGGTGTTGGGTTGGCCGGAATGCTCAACAAACAAACACAACAATGTTTTGCTAACACCACAGTGTTTACACTTTTCTGAGGGAGTCTATCTACAAATGCCTCACTGCACTTTAAACTGGCAGAAAGTGTTTTAACACTGACAATTTTACACACACATCAACTTAAATATATTAGCTCAGTCTCAGTACGTTTGAACCTTTTTTTTTTTTTTTATCAGTATGCACGGTCAAATTCCAGAGCGTTCGTGTCTGATGAATAACCTTTCCTGTGAAATACGACTAGCCTGTTTTCCTCATTATCATCACTGGAGAGACAGACTGTTTGAGCGGTGAGACAGCAGAGAGAGAGACAAAGGAGGTAGAGATCTCATCTTACCTCGTGTTCCAGTTGCAATGTCTGCCACTTTCTGGAAAGCATCCAGGAATGAGCTAGTGACGATGATTGTTGTCCTGAACGACAGAAAGAGAAAGAGTTTGTAAGAAAAACCTACAAGCAAAGTGGCTTTGACTGGATTCTTGCTAACAGTCGGTATATCACGACAAATATTTCCACCGACAGATTTTTGGAGCTTGCACCAGGTAGAGACGCAGGAGCCAACATTAACAGCACAGCAGTCCACAAAGCTCTGGCTGAATGATGTTTAAATACCTTAAGACACTGATAACTAAAGTGCAACTTACTACAAAACATTCTGCATATATTTTCTGCACTTTTTTCACCTTTTCTTGAATTCTGCAGAATTAATTTATGTAAATTAAGCTAATTCTAGATAAATATGTTAAAAACGTCATTAAACAGAATTGAAACTACAAAAGTTATACTGATACCTGAAAGCATTATCAAACTTATCAAACTAGCAACAAAAACAAATGCAGTTATAAACCGTAAACACCTTGTCTACAGTGGAAGTGTCAAAGCCATACATCATATCAGGATGTTTAAAATCAGCTGCAATTTTTGATTTCAGCAATAATAAAATGGATAAATTACTGTCCAATTTTATTTTCAATGCCAATCCATTTGTATAATAATGTTTATAGTACTAAAACTGCATATACACACATACAACATTATATATATATATGAAAGTATATACGAGACAAAATATTATTTAAATTAATATATATAATGTCACTACATCACTAAATTGTTTTCACATAATGTCACTACATCACTAAATAGTATTTAAATAACAGAAGTTTTTTTAAATACATAATTTAAATGAATAGCAAAAAGTATAAATATTCAAAATCATTTTATTTTATACAGACCAAGATAATAAAATGGCTGGAGTAGCTGTGCAGCACATTAGAAACAGAAACTTGATTATAGAAAGTCGTCAGTTGTAATAGGAAATATTTACTTTTGACAAGTTGCGACACAGGTGTTGTGAAAAAAAAATAAACATGAAAGAGGCATTGAATTTTATAAATGGTACGCACTCAAATTGGTGTTAAAAAAAAAAAAAAAAAAAAAAAGTTTCTCCCATGACATACAATGACGGGCATGTGGTAATTTCGAGGCTGAGCCCTAACATGTTAACATAATTTACAAGGTCCTGTTATTAAAATGTGCTCACCTTGGTTAACGTCTTCAGCTGAAGAGGCAGCATCTCTGTCATTGTCGGCACCCTCTCTCAGGGCGGGGGACGAAGCGGGCGTGGGCGCTAGGCTGACGTTAGCTGTGGTGCTGTCTAACAGTACCGTTGTAGCATCGCTATCGTTAGCTGAGCTGCTGGCTAACAGCACCGGTGTAGCATTATGAGGTCGTTTGTATTTCTGAAAAAAGTAATTCTAGACCAGCAATCTGTGCCTGACAGATTAAACCGGTGGCCATGAAATAAAGTGGTCTTGTTTAAAATTCCTAATCCAACTTGATTTGACATTCAACCAATGCACTTTAATTCCCGTTTATATCTGAAAGCTTACATATACTTGATCATTTGATTAGACCAGTGGATCTCAACCCGTGGCCCATCACGAATTCAAATGCGGCCCGCTGAACACAATTTTAAAAAATAACTTTCAGTTTTACAATTCATTTTAGTTTAGTTCGGTAACATTGAGCATCAGAATGGACACATTTGTTATTAAGCGAGAAAAACGAAATGTGGAAAATGCCGGCGAAGGAACGCATACAAACAAGAGTAGTCGCAGCAGTGAAGGTAGGAGAGTGCTGTACTTTCGGCATCAACTTTCGGTTTGCCCCGCCACTCACTTGAAGATGTTCAGGCTAGAGCCCTGCACGGGCCTCAAATACAGGCCCTAGTCCGGCCCTGACCCGTGATGTTCAGGCCCTAGCCCGGCCCTTGTCCGACAGCTTATCAGAATTACCGGCCT